AAAAAAAAAAAAAAAAAAAAAAAGGATTCACGAGGGACGCTGGGCCCGGTTCCCAGCTGTATGGACAATTCAACGCTGTAGGTATAACAGCGATTTCGGTAAAACGGACATTTTAATATTTTATGTGTTTTTTGAACGAAATCGAACCCACACCCCACATATTTGGCCCTGAAAACGTCACCGTTTTAGCTGTGTGGGAACGAACCCCTTGGATGTACCTGAACTTCAGTTAAGTCCAAATGGACCTTCAGGAGATTAAAAAAAGGTGATTTTTTTGGGGCAAATAAGTAGGTTTCAGAATTCAATTTCGTTTAAAAAAAAAAAAAAAAAAAAAAAAAAAAGAAAACGGTCTGTTTTGACGAAGTCGCTGTTGAATCTCAAGGGACGCTGGATCCGCTTTCCCGCAGGTGTAGCTCCCCACCAATAGACTGGAGCCCCCCCGCAGGACAGATAGGAGTGAATGCTTTTACCATCACTCCTATCTGTTCCTGCCGGCGGAATTGTGAAAAAAACAAAAAAAGAAAAAAAAAGAAACAGGGGCCCAGTGCCCAAGGCTCATATTATCAAGTTGAGTACAACGCAAACACACGCGCCTCCTCCGAGTAGGGCTGGAAGAGCTTCAGCCACTCCTCCCGTGGAGACAGTTTCCCTTCACAACAAGAGTGCAGCATGCAGCATGAGCAAGGGGCATTGATTGCTTCGCCAGCAGGGAAGGATTAACCCAGCTCCATGTAAAATTTGAACTCTGCCCTTCTATATAGTCAACCACTAACGATGAAACCCTCCGGACCCGAGAGGACAGCGGAAATTATAGCAGGGCAAAGAGAAAACAATTTAGATCAAAGTCGAATCGGCTACGGCTAGGGATGGACTACCTGTGAGGCTAGGGATGGACTACCTGTGGGACATCGTCGTCGGTCGAGGCAGCAATGGGCCAGGAAGGAAAGGAGGAGAGAAGGCGCGGGAATCTCTGAGCTCACTAACTAAGCATCGTCATTAAATACTGTTATATATATTGGGCACTCTGGTTTCTCCAATTCTGGCCAACATCTTGTTTCCTTTTACATCGGACATACGATTTTAGAGAACTCTATGGACCCAGGCGGATGCCGATGCATGCCAGAACGGCGCTGGCCGGTGCTGGGGCTTTGCTCTGTGACCTGCGACTAGCAGGAGCACGAGGCCTTGTAGAGAGATCCGGGGATTAGTCGAGCGAGGAAAACAATCCCGCCGTGCCGAACTGGGAGCTGCTGCTGTGACAACCGATGGGTCCGGGACTCCAGGTATAGTCTTGGAAGAGACAACAGGCTAGCTATGGTTGATGTTCGCTAGAATCCTTTCCAGCAACTGTTTTTCATACAGCTTCGCTCCCGAATCATTTCTGTGTTTTTTTGCTTTGCTTTTCCAAACGGGTTTCATAAGACAAAGTTACCTTCTCTCTGGATGGTATGTCTGGTATAGGAAGGGATAGGGATAGGTGTTGCTCAAGGATGACGACGCCAGATTGCTGATACAACAAAGTTTTGAATAGTTTGGAGTGTCATCATCATCATCATCGTGTTACGGTGGATGCGGGAATGCGGTTGCCCCTTGGGGGAATGTGCGCGTGGAGCTGACAGTCCATGTAGGAGCTTCTTTGTTCATCTTTGAGACGTGGACGCGCAGCGATTGGCCTCGCTGTTTCAATTCAATTCTTCTTCTACTACCAACAACAACAACAACAAAAAAAAAAAAAAAAAAAAAAAAACCATCCTGTTGACTTCTGGTTTGCTGTTACAAGGTAAGGGGTTTCAATTTATGGTAAAATCCTCGTTTTTTTTTTCTTTTTTTTTTTTTTTTTTTTTTTGAAGGCCCTTGTGCAAGGCCTCTATCCTGGTGGTGGTAAGAGCACCACCGGGATTGAGGCTTTGCCTGGCNAAAAAAAAAAAAAAAAAAAACCATCCTGTTGACTTCTGGTTTGCTGTTACGAGGTACAGGATTCCAAGAGATGGTAAAATCCAGGCTGTTGTTAGCAGAGTTGTCTGGTTCTACGCTCCCGGTATATATACCGATGCCAGAACGACGCTGACCAATGCTGGGGCGTTTGCCCTATGTAACCTGTACGGAGTAGGAGCCCTACTAGGCCTTGTAGAGAGATCTGGGGATTTTCAAGGGTGGAAGGTAATCCAGTGGTGTACGCCGTACCGGGGGGGGGGGGGGAGAGCCACCAGAGCAACCGACTACTCGTCGTGGGACCCTGCGAGCCCGTCTGACTACTGTTCGTCATCTTGCGAACTATGTCGTGGAGGAGGTGGGCTCGTCGCGAGAAGAAGAAGAGTAGAGGGGGTTGCAGGGATGCGCGGGGGTTGGTATGGCAATAGTCTAGGTGGCAAGAACATGATAACTATGGTTGATGCTTGCTCGGATGGTATTGTCTCTTGGATGTCGTGTCTCATACCACTGGCGAGGAGTTGCTTAGGGTTGGTAAAATCAGGATTGCTGTTGTAGTATAGGGTTTTTTTTTTTTTTTTTTTTTTTTTTTTTTTTTTTTTTTGAGGAAGATAGCTTTCTTTCCAAATCATAAATTGAGGCCGGGAAAACCTCGACATTTCAACCCGGAGGAAAAACTGGAGCCGCTACCCAGCTTAGGCTTGTAGTATAGTTTTCTGTGATCTTTTGATAGAATAAATCGTCTGATTTACAATCGTCACCATCACTGCAGTCATCATCATTATAAATTTATAATCATCTTCATTGATAAATTGTCTGATTTACGTTCTGTTCGGTTCTTCCGGGTAGATTGTGAGGACCCTGGCCTCAATTTTCTCATTGATAAAATCAGCCTTGGGCAATGGGCCCGGTTATTAAAAAAAAAAAAAAAAAAAAAGTCAAATCGCCTCAAAACTAAGCAATCAAACCCTACCCATTCCAATCAAATTCAATTGATCGAATGAGGAGAAGGGGGAAGACTGAAAATCTCCAAGAAGTGCCTGCCTACCCCTTGCAGTAGTGTGCGTTGATCGCCAATCAACAAGCGGGATACAGGGGAGATTAAGATATCGGAACAAAGCCCCTTCTCTCCCCTCCCTGGTTGTTGAGTAACCTACCTACCCCAGAATGAAACCCTACATATCCAATCAATTTGAAGGAGACGCAATTGAAGCAAATCAAAACCCCGTCATAGCAAGTCAATTGAAGCACTCTATTCTCAGGTTTTTCTCAGCCGAAGCCAGGTAATGGCCCCGGTGTTACAAACTGATGTATGTTCATATGGGACGCTGGGCCCGGTTCCCAGCACGTGCTGCTCCCCACGAATAGACTGGAGCTTTAAAAAAAAAAGTCAATCAAACTAATGCAACCCCATCCATCTCACCCCCTTTGTTAGAAAGCTTCCGTCAGAAAGAGAGTTTGGATGGCGGGGAAGAGCGAAAGCCCTTTCCCAACTACCCCACCCCCTTTTCGCCCCCAGTGCCCCCCACTGTTAAACCACCGGTACTTGGTCCAGCTATCAATGCCGAGCCTGAAAACGACCTGCGCGGCGTGCCTCCGGAAGTTGTGGGGCGTTAACGCCCCGCGGCTGATGTATGGGCCAAGTACTGGTGATTTAAGCGCTTAATGCCAGATCACGCTTCTGGAATGCTCGCGGCGTCATCAAATCAGCGCACAGGGCCAAGAGAATGCGAGAGCAATGGACAGCGACACAACCAATTGCAGATGAAAGCGCCAAAGGTGACCTCGTTGTAGGTGATACTGTTGTTGTTGGCTTCACTGATGTCGCCACCGTCGCCGTACATGAGAGAAGTAACTCCAACATCATTGTTATTGTTGAACCAATCGATGATAAAGTTGTTATTGATGTTGATAGAGGTGATATCGTTGCTAGTGTCGCTGTAGTTCATGATATCATTGTTGTTGTCGATGGTGTCTTTGATGATGATGTCGCTGTCGTTGTTGATGAAAGCGATGGCAGCAGCGTTGCCGTTGGTGTTGAGGCCGTTGACGAAAAAGTCTTTGTTGATGTTGATGACGCCTCTGCTGATGATGCTGACGATGCTGACGATGCTGACGATGCTGAGGATGCAAACTGCCCAAGAGGAGTAGAAAATGCCACCTCATGACACTGAGGATGCAAACTGCCCAAGAGGAGTAGAAAATGCCACCCCAGGCCACATTTCAGTTGCCAGCCTCACCTTCATCCCTTCACGATGTTCTGCGCCTTCATTGAAAATCGTGTTGCGAACTTGTAACTGAATATCAGAGCCTCAGCCCGCTGCCAATCTACAAATGCCCCCAACGCCGTCGATCTGCCAACGCGGCCAACGACCTCGATCTGCCAAAGAAGGGTTGACAGTTGTCGAGACTTGTCCTCCAGCCATGCGGCCGGTGCTGACTCCCCTCAATCAACCACTGGCCAGGTCTGGGCGGCAGAGGACAAGACTCCGACCAACTTCCGCATGCAACGTCTTGTATGTTCGAATGCGGAAAGCCATGTATCTGCCTGTTGTTGGAGATCCTCTGACGAAGCCATCTCGACTAAAACCACCCTGTGCGCCCACCCACTGAAGGAGAACTTGTTTACTTTATGCCGTAGCCTGCGCGCTCTCCTTTGGTCGTCTTTCTTCACACAAGGACGCCTTCGACACACTGACGACGAGATGCTACCATCACACCCATGCCGCCGCACACTGGTCCTCGTCAGACTTTTTGACCATGTCCCGGTGATGGAGTCTGTGGCTTCAGTCCTCCTCGATGTTAGTACCGAGATGTTGGGTATCAAGACCGCCGGCCCCGCCGGACGGTACGCTCCCCGCGCGCTCACGTACATGGATACAACACTCTCGGAACCACTTAATGGGACCGAGGAGTCCGATATCCAGGCTTGAGTGTCTGGGCCATCTTCCCTTAGCCATCCCCCTGATATCTGTTTTTGAACGTAATAGCCGATAAGTGGCTTTAACCGACAAGGTTTGTACGGTACGGGGTCTGCCTGATTTGATAGTCTTCCATACCCATTCTGCCCGGTAAAAGGGTAAATCCGTAAAAGGGTAATTCCGTAATGGGTAATTGCGTAATAGGTAATTCTGCATAAGAGGCTCTCGACTCCCGATTTGAGGCATCCAAAATTACTCTACATTACAGAGAGAAGTGATGGGAAAGTACACCATAAACTCCGGTGACATTTTGGATAGTGCCCCATTCCTATGTAATTCAAACCACGAGTACTTCATCCAGCCAAAGAAAAAGCCGACGTGGCCGTTAACGCGCCATGTCGTTCGGGTGTCGTTCGTTTGAATGCCCGGTCGCAGCCATAAGCCCGCTAACATTCTGGAGACGAGAAGGAAAACAAACAAACAAACAAACAAACAAATAGACCTATTCATATAAAAAAAGAACAAAGAATGTGGGGAAAGCTGACACCGCCGATGGTTAGAGCGGCGGAAGCTAAGTTCATAATGGAACAGACGATCTCGACAGAGTGGTCGCTCAAGGTGCGTGCTGAACAAGGGCTGTACTTCAAAAGCGTTGAAAACTTTCTGTGAGCATTGGGACAGATTCCCTGATTTACTCTCAGTACGCCCAGGGACAAGACCGCAGCCTGATTTGATTTCGTCAACTTTTTCTTCCTCAGAGTCCCTTCTACAAACTTGGTCTCCTTGAAGCTTCTCTTCTGTGCGTCTTGCATTGAGCTTCGTTTATAGAGTGCACAAGTAGAGCTACATGGCAGGACTTTTACCGCTTCAAGGAAAGTGCTGCGCTTGTGTGTGTTTTGTCGCGAACTGATCTTCATTTGGTATGCAGAAGCGATTGTGCGACTGCGTCCGCGTTTGTCTTCATTTAGTATGTAGTATGTGGGACTTGACTGTGATTTTCGGTGCTCTGGTTTTATGTGCTTCTGTGATCAGAGTGTTTGGAGTTCTTTCGCCTTTCTTTTTGAGATTCTACAGAGTGCTCCCCTCTTTGAGCCTGGCGGCCGGTGATGCCTCGCTCACTCTGTGGCGCCGCATACTTTTGTAAGGGACGTCGGGTTTCCCGGCCTGTATACTTGAGCGAAAAACATTATAAAAAAAAAGAAGGCCAAGTTTCCGAACACGTGCCAGGTGGTGTGTGTGTGTGTGTGTGTGTGTGTGTGTGTGTGTGTGTGTGTGAGAGAGAGAGAGAGAGAGAGAGAGAGAGAGAGAGAGAGAGAGAGAGAGAGAGAGAGAGAGAGAGAGAGAGAGAGAGAGAGAGAGAGAGAGAGGTGGGGAGGAAGAGAGTTTTAATAAGAAGAAAGAAAGAGAAGTCAGCAGGGAGAGACAAAGATGGAGAGAGACATAGAGGAGGATGGACAGTGATGGGAGAGCGATGTGATGTGTTCCTTGGCGGCAATTTTTATGTGACCTGGTCCATTGCCACCATTCCACCTTGCCCTATCTCATTTACTAAAATAATAAAATATACACGGCACTTATTTCGACACCCTGCCAAACAAAAGAGTCAACCAGTGAACCAAACAAGAGGTGACACCTCTTTCCTACCATAAAAATGGAGAACCCCAACAGAATTTGCTTGCTTAAACACAGTCAGAAAGTGAGAAGGGTTGGACGGACGGACGGACGGACGGACGGACGGACAGACGGACGGACAGACGGATAGATGGAGGGAGGGAGGGAGGGAGGGAGGGAGGGAGGGAGGGAGGGAGGGACGGAGGGAGGGACGGAGAGAGGGAGGGATGAAAAGGCATCGTATAGGAGTCGACATGATGAGCGACCGAAACGCCGCGCAATGTCATGCAGGATCATAGAATCATAAAGATGCCTCAGGGCTGTTAAACAACAAAACAGCACAAGCGATAAAATGCAAGAAGTTGCCATGGAGTAATCACGGGAGCGAGCATGGAGAGAAGAGGGGCAGCTCAAGTAGTAGATGTAAGGAGGACAAACCGAGGAGGTCAGTCAATGAGTTGTACAGCCGGAAGAACTCCATGCAACATAACATACACCGGGATTTCTCTTGCTCAATGAAGATCTTGAGCAAACAGAACACATAGATTCCGTCCTCGTTTAAACAAGCATCCACAATTTATTGCGATGGCAGCAGCACATTACATACAGGCCTCACAGTCATCACAGTCATCATAGTATCCTTTGTATTGCAAAAATGTCAATGCCCCTTGTATTTTAAAATGACAGGGATTTTTTTTACCAACCTGGTCCTCTCGCAGTGAGAGACAGATAGACAAAAAAGGAAGTGCGTCCAAGAAGTCGGAGGAGCCATTGAAGACCAGAAGGCGGAGCCGAGAAGTCTAATAGGGGTACTCGTCCTTCTTCCATAGGCAACACATAAGATAACATGCAGCCCATCGTGTCTCGTCCCCTTTTAGCCCCTGGTGAAACACTGCCCCCATGTCCAGTTGGATCGCTCGCTGAAGGGTCTTTGTTTTCCCCGCATTCCTCCTTGCTGTTTCACATTTCAAAACAATTCTGCCTGCCGAGCAATACAAAGGATTTTTGCCGCCAAAACTCTTCTCATCGAATTCTCTCTCTCTCTCTCTCTCTCTCTCTCTCTCTCTCTCTCTCTCTCTCTCTCTCTCTCTCTCTCTC